AAAAAAAAAAAAAAAAAAGGAAAAAAATAAAAAAGAAAGAAAGAAAAGAAAAGAAAACAAGCAAGAATCAGTGCCATGCTGATGGATGTGTCTTGTTTCTGTCCTCAGAAAAGCCGGGAGAGGAGAAGTTCACACGTAAGTCTTCCCTTCCTTCCGCCACAACTTTCTCCACTCTGGTTTAAAACTCCAGTCCTCTTCTTCCCTTCTTCGTGAGACAGACCGGGAAGGTGGCAAAGCAGGTCCCAGCAGACAACTGTCCCCTACATGTCACAGGACTTCCACGGCTTAGGAAAAAGCAGCAAAGTGGGAGCTGTTGAGACGAGATGATGCCCAGGTGGTCTGATGCCTCAGATCTTTGTCCCAAGGAGCCATGGAGGCTGTCACCTGTGCCATGCTGGGCTGCTGTTTACTACCCAGCTGCTGGGTGGCAGCCAGGGAGTCCTGGAGCCACCAGCTCGTTCTGGGTGCCCCTTTCCTATCCAGCTAGCTCTTCTGTCCCTCCATTCCTGCCTCCCAGAAGCAAAGCAAGCGATGTGAGGCGGCTGGGACCTGCCACCTCCCCGCCACCCTGAAAGACAACGTGCTCACGTTTTCTTCTTTCTTATTTCCGCAGTTATCCAGGCATCTGATATTGGTAAGGAATTTTATGTTTCTCCTAAGACTGTGGCATAAAAGGTACAGGAGGTAGAAGAGGGTGGGGGCAAGGGACAGAAAGGTCCTGGAGGTTGGCGTCACTTCAAGGGAGCTACGAGGAGTGACATCTCTAGCTTGCCACCTCCATAAAGGGACAGCTGCAGGCCACACTGACCCTAGGCACAGACCTGCTGCTCCAGGCCTTCTTTGCACAGTCACTAAAGTCATTGTTATTTGTCAACTGACTCAGGAGAAGGGGAGAGAGAACTTCCCTCTCGGCCCTTGGCTGGAGGCTTTGACTCCAAAGCCAGGCAGGGTGGTGCATGCCTGTAATTCCAGGGCTCCAAGGCTGAGGTAGGAGGATCCTAGGGAGTTTGAAGCTACTTAGGATTTTTTTTTTTTTGGGGGGTGCCTGGCTCAGAATGCCCTCAGGGCATGTTTGGCTGGCTCGAGTTGTGGGGATCCAACCGCAGCAACCTGAGGCTGACTGCTTTGTTGAAGCACCCTAAAAATGGCAGAAAGATTTTTTTTTTTTTTTTTTTTGGAGGTCTGAACAGGCCCTCAGGCCATTTCTGGTTTGGCTGGAGTATCTGGGTTCGAACCAGTGGAAATTGAGCCTCACTGCTTTTTTAAGCAGACACTTAAACAACTGAGCTAATAATGGGTGGGCCCCTGAAGCTACTTAGTAGGGCTCCATCTAAAAAAAAAGAATAGCTGGGCATGGTGGCACATGCCTGTAATCCCAGCACTCAAGAGGCTGAGGTGGGAGGATCATTGCAAGTTGGAGACCAGCCTGGGCCACAAAGTGAGCTCAAGGCCAGCCTGAGCTGCACAGTGAGACCCCGTCTCAAAAAGATCCAAAAAAAGAAAACACAGGGCAAAGGCCAGTCTCCAACTGGGCAGGGCACAGGGTCTGAGGAGACCTAGGGTGATGGGCTGGCAGCCACATCTGCTGTCCTCACAGGGGAGGTGCACGAGGACTTCAAGACCCTGAAAGAAGAGGTCCGGAGAGAGACCCAGGAGGTGGACAAACTGAGCCGGGCGGGCCAGGGCTCCCTGCTTAGCTCCCTCAGCAACCTTCTGGGCAAGAAGAAGGAGCTGCAGGACCTCGAGCTCACGGTGAGTCCCCACCAGAGGCAGGAGGTGGGGGACACGGGGTCCTGCTGGCAGCAGGGTGTGGGAGCTGGTGGCCCATGGCCAGGAGCACCGGCAGTGGACACCTGCCCCAAAGCTGGCCCCCGCCCCTGTGCCTCAGCGAAGGGCGTGTGGTAACAGGTTCCCCGAGGCACCTACCTGCCCCCTCTGACGGGCAGAGGCTGGAAGCCCATGGAAGAGGCCTCTGTTGGAGAGGAGCTAGAACCTTTCCCAAGTCCAGAACCCAGGGGCAGAGGATCCCAGGAGCCCGAAACTTTTGGGACTTAATACTGCAAAAGAAAGAGGCCAGGCATGGGCGTGCACACCTGTAATCCCAACACCTGGGAGGCTGAGGCGAGAGGATCGCTGCAAGTCTGAGGTCAACCTGGGCTACAAAGTGAGTTCAAGGCTAACTTGAGCTGCAGAGTGAGACCCTGTCTTAGAAATAAATAAAAGTGGGCCGGGGTTCTAGCTTAGGGTTACAACCCTGAGTTCAATTCCCAGTACAAATAAATAAATAAATAAATAAATAAATGTAAAAGTAAAATGGAAACGAGTTTCCGTGCATTGAAGAACTCATAAGAACCAGCACTAAACGGTGCCCTTTACCCATGGGATTTTAGTTTTTTAATTTGTAAAAAATATTTTATTGATTTATTTAATTGGTACAGGGTCTCACTACATAGCTCAGACCTGTACTGATCCTTCTGTCTCAGCCTTCCCAGGGCTGGGATTACAGGCATGTGCCACCACCCCCAGTTTCGGTGGCCGGCTCGGCACACCTAGGCCAAGAGCAGCACAGTATGTGGTACCCGGGATGGAACCCGGGTCCTCGTGCTTGCCAGGCAGGCACTTAGACTGCTGAGCTATTTCCCCAGCCTACCCATGACATTTTAAATACTCACCTTTCCCCACAGCTTGAAGGGGCCCTAGACAAGGGCCATGAAGTGACCCTGGAGGCCCTCCCAAAAGATGTCCTGCTGTCCAAGGAGTCCATGGGTGCCATCCTCTATTTTCTTGGAGCCCTAACAGGTCAGTGGGAAACAGGGTCCTTACTTCTCCAGCCATAGGAATGAATCACTTGACTGAATTCCTGAGTGAATGATCAGGTGAATGCCAGATAAATTCTACTATAGTGCAGAAGTTTCTATTAAAACTGGAGGGGCTGGGGAGATAGCTCAATAGAATAAGTGCCTGCCTGGCAAGCACGGGGTCCGGAGTTCAATCCCCAGTTCCGCAAAAAATGAAAAATAAAATAAAACCAGAGGTGCTGGCGCATGCCTATCATCCCAGCACTCAGGATGCGGAGACAGGAGGATCACTTGAGCTTGAGGCCAGCCTCGGCTACATAGTGAGACTCTGTCTCGAAACACAAACAACAAATTTAAAAATAAAATAAAATAAAATGGATGCTGCTCCTAAAGAGGATTCACGTAGTCAGTGGGTGATCTGAGAAACCAGCCTTGCGAAGCAGTTGGGAAAGAACCCTGGATGAAGGGCCGGCGAGATAGCTCAGTGGACTAAGCACCTGCTTTGGCAAGCACAGGAGCCAGAGTTCCAACCCCAGTCCCACCCCCGGGCGAGCTGAGCCAGCGAGTGAGGCCAGGCGTGGTGGGGAACGCCTGGAATCCCAGCGCTGGGGAGGCTGAAGACGGGAGGATCACTACAGGTCCGAGCTGCATAGTGAGACCCCGTACCAAATATATTTAAGAAAGAAAGAAAGAAAGAAAGAAAGAAAGAAAGAAAGAAAGAAAGAAAGAAAAAAAGAAAGACGAACTCTCGATGCATAGCCTCATCTTAGTGCTGCCCCACACAGCCGCTGAGCTGTCGTCTTCTCCTGGAGCCCATCTGTGAACTCTGACATCAGAGGGTGGCGACTGCTCTGCCCCTGCCTCCCCTCCTTCCCGCCCTCTCCCCCACTTAGAAAAGCTCCGCAGTCCTTGCGTATAAGCGAAGACATTCATTCCCCTCCTAAGGCTGCGCTCCAGGCTCGGGACCTGAGCACACCCGCAGCTTCAGCAGGCTTCACGTCCTGGGCTGTGGCTCTGCGCCACTTTCTCTTTTTCCTAAGACTGCAAGTTCCGTCAGTGAGGAGAACACAGGTTTTGCTCAAGAGTCAGCCAAGGTGCTTGGTCTAGAGCAGGCACTCAGCCGTTCGGGAATGGACAGTCAGATGAATGAATGAATGAGTGAATGAATGACCAAGCAGTGCATGCTGGAATTCTGGAAGCATACTGCTTGGAGTCAGGAGTGACCTCTGCACTAGGGACACCAATGTCTTTCTCTTCTTTTTCTCTCCAGTGCTAAGCGAGGCCCAACAGAAGCTTCTGGTAAAATCCGTGGAGAAAAAGCTCCTCCCAGTGCAGCTGAAGCTGGTGAGAAAAACAGCAGATGCCCGGGAGAGCTGGGAAGGAGAGCAGGGGCCCTGGGAAGGTGCCCCTGTGGCCTGGTGGCTGATGTCCCAAGGGCCTGTGCCCCACACCGGAACTCACGTCCCTTCACTTTTCTGTCCATATTTCTTCCTTTAAAATTATTTCACATGAGGGGGCAGGAGGGTGGATTTCTGGCCATAATCTGGGTTTGTTACCTCGCTTTTGGAAGACAAGACAGAGAACCCCGACTTTGATAATCCCTAGCGTCTCTGAGTGTGCCTCCATTGATTCATCTGTACAATTGTGTTAAAAGTAAATGTACTCGCCTGTCATCCCAGCACTCAGGAGGCTGAGGCAGGAGGACCACTGCAAGGTTAAGACCAGCTTGTGGGCCGGGGAGATAGCTCAGTGGCATAAGCACAAGGTCCTGAGTTCAATCTCCAGTATCAAAAAAAAAAAAAAAAAGAAGAAGAAGAAGAAAAAAGACTGGCTTGGGCCAGGTCTCAGCTACTTTTCTCTTGCTACTGGGAGAAAATACCCAACACCCAGAATTAAGCAAGGGAAGGTTTACTTAGCTCACAGCTGCTGGAGGTGTCAGTCCACACGGCTGGCTCCAAGGCAGAGCAGCACATGGCAGAGGGCAGCCTTTCATGGCTGGGAAAATGGCAGGGAGCAAAGGGCGGAGCAGCGGCTGTGGCTGCTAGCAGTCCCATCTCCCCTCCGCACGATGAATTCAGACTATCAGCCATGGGGCGGGGGTAGCACTCACACCGATAATGCCGGTGTTGGATCACGAATTAATCCCAAACTCTAGAAGCCACCCCATGACTGCATGAGGTTTTGGGGGGACACCTAGACACAAACCATAACAGGCTACATAGTGAATCCAGCCCAGCCTGGACTGTGTAGCAAGATGATAGATAGATAGATAGATAGATAGATAGATAGATAGATAGATAGATAATGGGTGCCTAACAGCTTGCTCTGTAGTGCTGCTGCAAGACCAGATAAGGCTGAAGCATCAGTAAGGGGTCCCCATGACCTTGTGACCTATGTAGGGCAGGAAGGAAGAGCGCCTTTGGGCTCCCCCTCATGCTGCCTCTGTTCCTTGCAGGTGGAAAGCACGCTGGAGCAGAATTTCCTGCAGGACAAAGAGGGTGTTTTCCCCCTGCGCCCCGATCTGCTCTCCTCCCTTGGGGAAGAAGAACTGACCCTCACGGAAGCCCTCGTGGGGCTCAGCGGCCTGGAGGTGCAGAGAAGTGGCCCCCAGTACACGTGGGACCCAGACACCCTGCCCCGACTCTGCGCCCTTTATGCTAGCCTCTCCCTCCTTCAGCTCCTGGCCCGGTCCCCCTAGTGTCCCTTTTCTGGCTGTTTCTGGCTTCCAAAGCAAGGACCTCAACATCCCAGTGTGTTTCACAGCCACCAAGAAGGCCCCCCAAATCCTAGCTGGTCACCCCCAACAACCAACTTCCACTCCCCAGCCTCCGGGCTGCCTGTGAGTCCCAGCCCAGGCTGGTGTTAAATCCCGAAGAGGTGCTCAGCCTTTATGACTAGGGAGCTTATTCAGCAAAACTGAAGGAAAAGGAGACACATTTATTTCCAACCCTAATCCTCCCCACTTGCACTTCTAAAAAACAAGCACTAGAGGAATTGATGGAAAATACACATCAGTCTTAGGATGACATGGCTTTGGGTGTATTTCTTCAAACAGTTTATCTTATGGAATTTCTTAGTTGGGCCAGAAAAAGAAACACTCTCTCGGAGCTATAGATCCTCTGAACAGGAGCAGCTGGGAAATGCTCGGGACCTGCTGGGCATGGGAGGCCAGGC